TCAGAACTCTGGAAAGGATGTAGGCTTCGGCTAGATTCCAGCTGGGCTTCCCTGGTGGCTCAGATGGTCAAGAATCCACCTGCAATGAGGGAGACTTGGGTTTGATCCCTGGGTTGGGAAGATCCTCTAAAGGAGAGCATGGCACCCCACTCCAGTTTTCTTACCTGGAGAATCACATGGACGGAGGAGCCTGGCGGACTACATTCCATGGGGTCGCAAAGAACACAGCACTCAGCACAGCAGAGACTCCAGTTGAGACCAGGTCTGTTTAGCTTCTTCCCTGTCACCACTTTCAATGGCTGCATAATGGCCCACAAAGTGCATGCACTATTTCCCTACTTAGTGGATAGTTAGGTCTCTGTTTTAAATAATGTCTTGAGTGTGGCTTCTAACCTATTTTTTTGTGGTTTTCGTAGACTAAATATCCAAAATTGGAATTATGAGTTAAAACTATAGCCACATAATTTGTAGATTTGGATACATATTACTAAGTTGCTTTTGAAAATGGTTTTATTAGTAGTTTAAAGCATCATGGTTGAGCTCATGTTCTCTCTACAGCATATATTATCTAGGATGAAACAGATCACCAGCCCAGGTTGGGTGCATGAGACAAGTGCTCGGGCCTGGTGCACTGGGAAGACCCAGAGGAATCGGGTGGAGAGAAAGGTGGGAGGGGTATCAGGATGGGGAATACATGTAAATCCATGGCTGATTCATGTCAATGTATGACAAAAACCACAACAATATTGTAAAGTAATTAGCCTCCAACTAATAAAAATAAATGNTTTGGAGAAAGGACCTTTAAAGAGATGATTAAGTTCAAATTAGGTCACTAGGGTAATCCATTATCCTTCCCGACTGGTGTCCTTACTAGAGGAGATTAGAACACAGAGGGAAGACCGCGTGATGACAGAGAGAAGGTGCAGTGTATGCACCAAGAAGAAAAGTGACTTCGAGGACTGGTTTGGCTCCCTGCTGACACCTTGAGTTTGTACTCCTAGTCTGTGAGGTCGTACAGGAAAGTAAGTTTCTGTTCTGTAAGCCACTCAGTTTGTGGTACTTTATTATGGTGGCCCTATTTAAGTAATGTAACTTCCAACCCCCTACATTCCATAAAATTCTATAAATTTTCTATTTCATCTTCTTCATGGCTTTATTTTTCTATTTACTTCTACAATGTATATGTATTTTTATTGAGTCTAAATTGATATTTTCTCCAAATTGCCACACAGCTAAGCCATCTTCAAGCATTGTCATATATTTCCATACAGAGTTATTTTAGCCTCAGAAAAACATTGTCCGCAATACCCCGGGACTGAGGTAGAACCGTCTCTGATCTCTCTGATAGGAAATCTTTTGTTTTTTTAAGAAACTCTTCTCAAGGGATTAATTCTTGTTTCACAAACATTTCTGAACTCTCCCTTAGTAGACCACAGAAATCATTTGTGAACTCTCTCCTCAAAGACCACAGAGACCACTTATCCATTTGCAGTATTTCTGCAGGCAGAGCATGATAGGCAAAGGACGGACTGATGAAAGTCAGTCAAGGAATGTCAGTGCCCAGACCTGGGTCACCACGACAGGCCGGCAGTAGTGTGAGGATCCCTTAGGCCTTTTTGGAGATCTGTGATTTTGAAGGTATTTTCATAATACTAAGATCCTATTTTCCCTTTTCACTGTGTTTACATTTGTACTGATGGTACAAAAGCAAGGGTTAATACCGGTGGTGCTTAAGCCTGGATCAAGGTAAGGGCTTTAAACTGCTGTTGTAGTCATTTTGTCCTTCTTTCCTTTGTTACCGACAGGAAACAAATGCTTCACGTATTAATAAAAATGTCCTTTATGAAGCAGTGGAAATAGTTAATTTTAAGTCTCTATGCTGGATTATCTTTTTTAATATTCTGTGGGGTGACATGTGAAGTATGCACAAAGAATTTCTAGTGAATACAGAAGTACATTAGTTGTTTCAAGGAAAAGCACTTGGAAGATTATTTGAGTTGCTGGCTGAATTCACTGATTTTTTTCAAGGTACATTTTTTTTTAAAGCATGACTGACAGGCAAATTATGATTATTTAGACTTGGCTACTTGGCATACACTTCCTTGTTAATTCAAGAAGGGAAACTATCATTTAAAGGAAAATAATTGACATTTGTTGCCAATGCTTAAAATTCAAACTTTTAAGCACACATTAGAATTTGTGTCCATCATTGGAGGTGAAAACTTTCCAACACTTCAAAATTTTTCTGATGGAATCTTTGATGACATAATACAACATCCTCAAAAGTCTGTTTGTTAAATGAAGCCACATACCACACTGCAACTAACTTTTCAAAAACTACCAGTTGTTGAGTTTGGACTTCATTTTCTTCATATACTTACAGTAACAACAAAAACTACCTATACCAATAGATGGTATGCAGAAGTAGATCTGGGACTCACTCGCTTACTCTTCAGGTGGGCAGTCAATAGATTTGCAAACAAAGCCAGTCTTTTTACTTTTATTTTAGAAAAGAATGATTTTTCATTAAAATATATACATAATGAGTTCATTATTTTTTAATATTTTTTTAGAAATTTAGTTCTACTTGGTATCAACAGATAATTCATATAAACAAACGTCTTTGGAGTCCTCAACAGTTTATAAGAGCTTTGTAAAGGGGTCCTAGGGCCAAAAGTTCGAGAACTGCTGCTTGTAAACTAACTCCTACGGCGGTGAAACATTTCTGTGAGGGATCCTTTCCAGGGGCGGTGAAAGAGGTCAGAATCTACCCTGGCTTCAAGTCAGGGCTCCACACAGAAAGACTTAGACGGGGCTAAGCGCAGCAGCAGCGTCGTAGCTCGTCAGCGTCTCAGTCTCCCTGGAAACCACTCATCCGCTGTCTCCTGAACCCCGCCCTCCTTTCCTCTCCGCCTCTCATTGGAGCGGGTTCAGTCAGTGGGCGGTCTGTCGGGAGGTGGGCGGGGCTTAATCCCTCCGGAGCCCAATCGCAGGAACGTCCTGACGTCACGCAGGACGCCGCTGCCCTGACGCTTCGCCCTTGCATCCCCCCTGAACCCGCAGTAGCTGGCGTTACCCCTCAAAGGAGTCGCGAGCATTTTCCCCTGAGGCCTGCGATACCGCGCTCTCTGACCCACCTTACCTGGCCCGGCGCTGTCGGCCGCGTCCGTGCCGCCGTCATGGATCTGAATCTAAACCGAGCGGATTATTTGCAGGTAAACCTGAGGGGTTGGGGCCGACGCTGCGCGAGGTGAGCCCCGCTCTAAGAGAGGATTCGACCCTTCCACTGCCGTTGGTTGCGGTCTGTGGGAGCCGAGCGGCGAAGGAGCGGGTGTGAGTGGAGCCCTCCAGTCGCCGTCCGCCAGGCTTGTCCGCGGGGCCGGTCCACCGGCACTTGGGAAGAAGAGAACCGCCGCCCCGTCCCGTGGGCCGGCGTCCTGCAGATGCTCCGAGTGTCCTGACGCGATCCCGGATTCCTCCCCAAGGCCCTTCTCCGCCCTTCTGGCTGCAGCTACCTGTGGGGTTCAAACTCCTGACTCTCCTTCTCTACCCAGTCTCTCGTCCCCAGGGCCAGACACGTATTTCTTACTGTGGGCTGGACCTGGCGACTCGGATCGTAATAAAAGCAATGGTAGCCGTTTTCGAGGGTCTAGTTTATTCTCAGAGCTTACCTTTTGTACATATATTTTGTTGTTCGTCGCTCAGTCGTGTCAGACGTTTTGGGACCCCGTGGACTGCATGCAACATGCCAGGCTTCCCTGTCCTTCACTGTCTCCTGGAGCTTGCTCAAACCCATATCTGTTGAGTAGGTGATGCCATCCAACCATCTCATCCTCAGTCATCCCCTTCTCCTGCCCTCAGTCTTTCCCAGCATCAGGGTCTTTTCCAGTGAGTAAGCTCTTAGCATCAGGTGGCCAAAGTACTGGAACTTCAGATATATTTTCCTTCACAAAAATTCTCAAAGTCGGTACGTGACGATCAAAGGGATTCAGAAAAGGCAATTTGCATAATAACCAAACGGATGCGGTTCCTCTGTGAAACAAAATCTCTGTTACACCACCCTGCCTCTCAGTATTTTAGCCCTAGACTTTCCCTCTTCTCCATCCCCTTTCCCAGTAACCCTCTTTTGGCTAATGGTACAAATGTTTGTCCTGCCACTTGAGACTTATGCCGGATACTTACCACCTTAATATCTTCCATATACATCTGGTCACCACATTTTGCTGTTTCTATCTCGAAAGTATCTGCTAAATCTGTCACGTTTTCTCCCTCCATCTCTATTATCCCCAGTTTAGTCTTCATCTCTTGGATAATGGAAATAGCCTCCATCCTCACCTCCCTCCAAGCCATCCTTCACAACACTGGCTAGACTGATGTTTCAAAAATACAAATCTAAGTAGACTAGTTTAAACTTTAACACTATTCCATAGAATACAGAATAACAGGATAGATCTGTATGCACAATATGTAAATTCTTTCATGGTCTATTGTCTCAATTTCTCTCCCTTTGGTCCCATTCTCCTCCCCTAACCATGCCCAACTAGTGACATTTCTCTGCTGAGCAAACCATGCTGTTTTCATCTTCTGTACCTTTTGTAAAATGATCTTCATCATCAGTTAGATTGGATGTCGTTGTCATCAGCATGTTGGTGTCTTAGCAAAAATCTTCTCTGTTCCATTTTCAATAATCTATTTCTAAAGATTTTTCATTACAAACTCTTCTTTAATAGCTGTATGAAGTTGTAAAAAAAAAGGCTTCTAGATATAATTTTTATGTGTGAAGTACCTTACCAGTAATGTCACATAATTATGTTTGACTTGACAACTTTATAGCGTGAATTTTACTGCTTTTGATTGTTTCCTATATTCTGACTTTTGTGGCATATTTCATTAGAAAATAAGTTCACTGCTGATAACAGTTATTTCATATCACTAATTGCAATTAAAAAACTAAGGCTTACTATGATTAGAATCTGCTGGTCCTTTTACTCTTTGAGGTATAACTTTAAATTAGTGTATCAGAAAACATTCACTAGGCAGCTGATGTGTTTCCTTAGGTGGGGGTGACCTCTCAGAAGACTATGAAGCTACTTCCTGCCTCAAAACATACAGCCACACAAAAGGTAATGTAGAGACATTGATTCTGCCATATCTCTCTAGCTCTTACAGAGGTTTATATGCCCCTCTTTATTGGTAAGTTTTTTTTTTAATTTCAAAGCTAAAGTGGAAATGGATTTCTGTTAATTTGAACAGAGGTTGGAATACCAAGGGACACTTATATACAGTAATTTTCTTGTACATTATAAGTATCATGTACAATCAGTAAGTAGTATTAGCAAACTAGTTGAAAACTATGTTCCATTTTTCTGGGAATAATTTTCCCTGCGTGTGCTTGTACATGCCAGATTGTATATATAAAAAAAGAAATATAAAACACAATATGCTGTAGAGAAAATACTTTTAAAAAACTTTGTCATATTTTTAAGAGTAATTTTTAAAACTTTATATTTAACTAACAATATTGATTATTTTTATAGAAATATTAATCCTGTAATTTCTGTAAGACAATATAATTTCTTAGTAGACTAATGAGATTCTTTAATAGCTGCAAAATAAATGCAGTATTACCATATAATACATTTTATCAAGATAAATCAACAGATTTTTGATTATCATTTCTTGTATTCAGTCTACTAAAGCAACACTTTTCAAACTTTTTGGTTTTAGGACTGATTTGTAGTATTTTTAAGATCACTTGATTATTTTGTTTATTTTTTATTGAAATATAGTTGGCGTACAGTATTATGTAAGTCACAGGTTTGCAATAAAGTGATTCATAATTTTTAAACATTATATTCCATCTATAGTTATTATAAAATATTGGCTCTGTTTTCCGTGTTACACTGTATATCCTTGTACCTAATTTTATACACACTGGTTTGTATCTCTTAATCCCGACTCCTGTGTTGCCTCTCCTCCTTTCCTATCCCCACTGGTAACACCTGGTAGTTTGTTTTCTATATTTGTGACTCTGCTACTTTTTGTTATATTCACTAATTTGCTGAGTTTTCCAAATTCCACATACAAATGATATATGGTTTGTTTTTCTCTGTCTGACTTATTTCACTTAGCATAATGCCCTTTAAGTCCATCCATGTTGTTGCAAATGGGAAAATTTCATTCTTTTTTATGACTGAGTAGTATTCTTTATCCATTCATCTGTTAATGGACACTTATGTTGTTTTTGTATCTTGGCAATGATAAACAGTGCCATGAACATTGGGGTGCCTGTATCTTTTTGAATTCATGTTTTTGATTTTTTTCAGATTATATGCCTAGGAGTGGCATTTCTGGGTCATGTAGTAGTTCTATTTTTAGTTTTTTGAGAAAATTCAATATTGTTTTCTACAGTGACTGCACCAATTTATATTCCCACCAACAGAGTACAAGAGTTCCTTTTCTCCACATCTTTGTCAGCATTTGTTATTTATGTTATTTTTCATGATAGCCATTCTGACAGGTGTGAGGTGATATCTCATTGTGGTTTTGATTTGTATTTCTCTGATGATTAGTGATGTTAAGCATCTTTTCATGTCCCTGTTGGTATTTGCATGCCCTCTTTGGAAAAATGTTTATTCAGGTCTTCTGCCCATTTTTTAATCAGGTTGTGTTTCTAATATTAAGTTGTATGAGCTGTTTATATATTTTGGATATTAACCCCTTATTATTCATATTATTTGCAAATACTTTCTCCCTTTCGATAGATGATTTTCTTTTCTTTTTTTCTATGGTTCCCTTTGCTGTGCAAAAGCTTTTATTTAAATCAACTATAAATCAACTACATTCAGTCATCTATATTCAACTATATTCAGTATAATCAACTATATTCAATAAAATCGACTATATTCAATAAAATCAACTATATTCAATATAATAAATCAACTATATTCAATAAATATATTTATTGAATCAACTATATTCAATAAAAATTAAAAAATCAACTATATTCAATAAATCAACTATATTCAATATAGTTGAATCAACTATATTCAATAATATAGGTAAATCAACTATATTCAATAAAAATTTAAAAAACTAAAAAAGCTTTTAAAAATATCAAATAGGTCTGTCACAAACTTATTTTGATAATGTTTTAAAAATTAATCTTACAACATTCTTATGCCCTGGTGATGGGGAAAAAGTCACCTCCTTGCCAAATCCATCTGTATTCTCTCTTTCTCTTTACCTTGTAGGAAACCAGCTACTTCTGTAACAACTCCCACGGGCTTCTCTTTGGCCCTTTCTTATAATTCTTTAGTGAATATTTTTTTGTAGGGCTGTCTTTACTAGGTTTTCTGATCTCTATTTTTTAAAATTATAATTTATATATTGTGGATCTTGTTTTCCCCATATAAGTTAATAAGGCATAATAACAGTGATTTTAGATTCTCTTCAATCTGTTACAGGTGGTTGTTGGAGATCATGATGGAGTAGTTATGTGCTTTGGCATGAAGAAGGGAGAAGCAGTGGTATGTGTATGTTTTGAATACTCCCAGGTTGAGCTTTTTCTAAAGCACAATGAAAAATGGGTTAAAGGAAGTAGTGATATGAAGTATGAGACTTCAGGCAGCATAAGAGTCATTTGCTAGCTGTTTGTAAAACATCTTTGACATTCTAAGGTGATATATTAGTTTTTTTCTGCTGTGTAACAAATTACCTCAAATTTAGGGGCTAACAATGAAACACATTTATTATCTCTCAGAGACAGGAATCCAGCCTCGAGGCCTCATGTGGCTGCAACATAGATGTTAGCCAGGCTCAATTTCTTTCTGCAGCTCAGGGTCCTATTCCATGCCCACATGGTTATTTAAAGAATTCAGTTGTTTATTTTTATTGAACTGAGATCCCCACTTTATTGCTATCTATAGGCCCAGGCCTGCTTTCATCATGTGAGGCCCCCACACTTCCTGGCCGTGTGGTCTTCTCACAGGCCCTCTCACAACGTGGCAACCTGCTTCTTCAGGCCAATGGGAAAGTCTGTCTAGTCTGCTAAGATAGAGTCTTACATAACAGAGCGCAACCTGGACGTGACCATCGCATCATCTTTACCACTTAATACAGGCTCGTCACGGAGTGATTATTACATTATCATGTACACAGACTGTAGTTTTAAAGTGATAGGTCTGAGATGTGAACGCTTATCTTCATTATACGTTATATGGAATTTGCAAAAAGATGGAGCTGGTAAAAACTATCAGAAACTCAGTGTTTCCATTATCCATATATTCTTCCAGATACTTTATTCTCTGTGTATAAAGGCATTGAGGGTGAAGGAAGAAACCAATGCCAATAATAAAATAGAAATTAATAATGCAAATACTTCCAATTAGAGAGATATGAAGTTATACACTCGAGTTTTCAGTAAATTCTGTATTCCTTTGTTTATACTACTAAAATTGGTAAAATTGTACGGGAACCATGAAAAATTAGTTTTAAAAAGATGATTAAAATACTGGAGGAGGTAGCCATTTCCTTCTCCAGGGGATCTTCCCAAGCCAGGAATCAAACCCAGGTCTCCTGCATTGCAGACAGATTCTTAGCCAGCTGAGTCACCAGGGAAGCCCATAAAAAGATGATTAAAGTGTAAAATCATGTCCATTGGAACCAGATGGGGAGTCTCGGTAAAATGCAGATTCTCCTTCAGCAGATCTGCAGTTGAGCCTGAGGGTCTGAATTTCTAATAAGGAAAATATGCTGTGCTGCTGCTTAGTGAGCCCTACTTTGAGTTGCAAGAATTTAGATTTTAATGATGTTATTGAAATATGTGTGGGAATAAACGTTATAATGTGTGAAGATATTTAGCAAAAAAAATCCACAAGATGATTGAAGTAAGCACATTTCTATCTACAAGTTTTCCTATATAGTAAAACTATAAACTTTTGTAAGTTTAAAATCACCACATTTTTTATGGTAAAGGAAAATATTTGCAATAAGTTTGTGTACTTAATTTGTCCCTTAACAATTTTTGCAGACAGTGTTCAAGACTTTACCTGGGCAGAAGATTGCAAGATTGGAACTAGGAGGGGTTCTTAATACACCCCAGGAGAAAATTTTTGTTGCTGCAGGATCTGAAATTAGAGGCTTCACAAAGAGAGGAAAACAGTTCCTCTCTTTTGAAACAAACCTCACTGAAAGCATTAAAGCTATGTATGTTTATTCTCTCTTTATTTTTACATGTCCATTTACAATATTTTGGATAGGTGACAAACATCTGATTAAGTGTCATATCTTAATAGGTTATCTAGGAAATAACTAAAAATACTTTATGAGTCAGAAACTGAATTTGACCTGGAATCAATATATAATCAATTGGTTATTGAAATCTTTTCAAGACATTTATAGTATTTATATTCAGTTATGATTCATAACCAAAGTATAAAAGAAGTGAAAAAACTCTCCAGATATTTACATTCAAATAAATATTCTCTTTATGATCACAGGTGATGATAGCTATCTAATGAAAATAATATACTAGTATATAATTTTTGTCAAATATTTTACCTCCCCCAATGAAAACTTGATTCATTCTAAGAATTAGAATATATTTATGATTATATACATTTTATTAAATATAATTTTAAATGAACTTCTTTTTTCAACTTAAAATTCTAATCATTTTTTTCCACTGTTTATTATTTAGTTTCAGGTAGATTCTGTTTAGGTAGCCTTATTCTATTTAGTGTGGTAGTAAGAAAGATATGGAGTAGGAAATGGCAACTCACTCACTCATTCCAGTATTCTTGCCTGGAAAGTTCCATGGACAGAGTAGCCTAGTGGGCTACAGTCCATGGGCTTGCAAAGAGTCAGACACAACTGAGTGACTGAGCATGCAAGAAAGGTAACTGTAGAGTTAAAGCTACCTGAGCTGCAATCCAGTCTACTGTCTGCTGTGTGTTTAGGCAAGTCACTTCACATTTTATTAATATTATTCCTCTTAAAAAGGAATAATTGTTCCTAGTTTATAGAGTTATGAGGATTGAGCTAATATATTTAAGTCACTTATGACAGTGCTTGGCACATAGCACACATTGAAAAGAAACCTACTTTTTGATATATTAATTGTCTTCAGGTATAGACAGGTGAATTACCGTTATCACGTTTTTGTTTACAGTTTTTCTGAACTCAATTTTTGAGAAGCTCGAGACCTTAAGAACCTCATTTTCAGCTTTCAAAATCATGGCTGTACCAAAAGTCTAGAAATTAAGTATGGGAAATGAAAACAAACTGTGTTCTCTGAGTCTATGATAAAATGATAGTAAACTGTAAATAAATAAACTTTTGTTTTCATCTCTGAAAATAATTCAGGAGTTTCTGATGCTTATTTTTAAAAATGTGGATGTCTTAAATTACTTTTCATACTCTCAGGCACATATCTGGCTCAGACCTTTTTCTCAGTGCAAGTTACATCTATAACCATTATTGTGACTGCAAAGACCAACATTATTACCTTTCTGGGGACAAAATCAATGATGTCATCTGCCTTCCAGTGGAAAGACTCCTTCGTGAAGTACCGGTGTTGGCCTGCCAGGACAGAGTACTCCGAGTTTTACAGGTTACTGTTGTTTGCATTTTTATAGTTTTTCATAATTTAGGCATGTAAATATTGATGAACAATGTATAATTGAGATAAATTACTTTAGTGACCACTACCACTTTAAATATCTTAAAATTATACCTGAAATTTTTTTTTAATGTTTTACTTGACTAATATTTTTTTTTTTTACTTGAGGCAAGTGTGTTGAAATCTTCAGCAAGTTTTTAGAGAGGCATATATGGAAAAAAGGACACTTTTGTCCCCTTCACCCCATACATGATAGCTGAGTTAGTTCAATTAGAATGTAGTACCTTTGCTACATTTACTTCCCCACTTTTATTTTTTTTTTCGTCTCTCACCCTCAGTTCAGGTCAGTCTCTCAGTCGTGTATGATTCTTTGTGACCCCATGGACTGCTGCACACCAGGCTTCCCTGTCCCATCACCAACTCCTGGAGCTTGCTCAAACTCATGTCCATCAAATCTGATGCCATCCAACCATCTCATCTTCTGTCGTCCCCTTCTCCTCCTGCCTTCAGTCTTGCCCAGTGTCAGGGTTTTTTCTAATGAGTCAGTTCCTTACATCAGATGGTCAAACTATTGGAGTTTCAGTTTCAGCATCAGTCCTTCCAATGAATATTCAGGACTGATTTCCTTTAGGATGGACTGGTTGGATCTCCTTGCAGTCCAAGGGACTCTCAAGAGTCTTCTCCAACACCACAGTTCAAAAGCANGAAAAACCATAGCTTTGACTATACGGACCTTTGTCAACAAAGTAATGTCTTTGCTTTTTAATACGCTGTCTAGGTTGGTCATAGCTGCAGTCACCATCTGCAGTGATTTTGGAGCCCAAAAAAATAAAGTCAGCCACTGTTTCCCCATCTATTTGCCGTGATGTGATGGGACCAGATGCCATAATCTTAGTTTTCTGAATGTTTCTATCACCCTCTCCTCTCCCCAAAAATCAAACTAAAAGAGGAAGTTGGGTTGGGGAGAAGGTATTAGGCTTTAACAAGGGAGAGTTGAGATCAAGATTGTATCATCTGAGTTTATCCAGCATTTATGACAGTATGTTGAACAGAATAAGCATGCAGTAAATATTTGAAAAATCATTTATTATCTTTATATTCCTATTAAAAACTGTGATTGACTAAAGCAATTATTTAAGGCCATTGTTATTAATAATACTAGTTACAACTGTCTTCTTGAAAGTGACTTTTTTTTTGTTTTGACCTTGCTGTGCAGCTTGTGGGGTGTTAGTTCCCTGATCAAGGGTTGAACTCAGACCCTTGGCAGTGAAAGTGCAATGTCCTAACCACTGGACCACCAAAGAATTCTGAAAATGACTTTCAATAAAATAGACACACTCTCTCTCACACACACATACACACATCCAGGACCCATAAAAAAAGTTTAAATGTAAATGACAAAAATGTAATGAAAGTTTAAACATAAATATAATGGATGAATTAATTGGATCAAAATTTAGGATGATGATAGTGCAGTTGAACAAAAAGTCTAGCTATTTATTCTGTACTACCAGATGGCCATTTCTCAGCATCAGCCCCCCCTTTCTAAAATTAATTTTTATTGATGTTTATTTGCTTTACGGTGTTGTGCTAGCTTCTGCTGTACAGCAAATGAATCAGCTCCATGTTTAGACATCAGTTCTTTTTTTTTCCCCTGTGGATAATTAATGTTCAAGGTTCTCTCTAGGAGCATGAATGATTGATCTTTCCCCTAGCCTATGCTCCCAAATATGAGTTGTTTGAGTAAGGCTTTTAATAGGAGCTGACTCACATCTATTTAGAAATTGATCTGACTGAACTCTAGGATTCTGCTTTGTTTAACCAGTGATCCATGTGCTTACTGTGGAAAGTAAAAAGTTGAAGTCTTTGCTCCGACCTGCACACTTTTTCCCTACTCCCCCTCTGCCTCTGTATGCAATCCATTACCCCAAAGGTAGCCTTTTTAAAACAGTTTGTGTTTATATAGTTAGATACAGTTTTGTGTTTATATAGTTAGATACAGATATCTGTGAATAATGTTATTTTAAATAAAGTATAAAGCATATGACTCATATTCTATATGTATTTAAAATCTTTAAACAAAATGGTATATCAGATTTACTGTAATTTTGCAAATGTTTCTTCATTGAGAGATTTATTGTATTTTTTCTATGTGAATTTAATACTTCTACCTCATTCTTTAACAGCTTCACAAATACTATGCACCAAATTAAAGCATTAATAAGTGACAAAATTGAAAAAAAGACAGAATTTAACTTGTTTTCTTATCTAAATAGCAGGGCATTCTGCCTCTTTCTGGAGTGGGTTTTGGAGATACACAAAGGCAAGGCCAGAATTTTCCTTAGGAAATAACTTTGAGTCTGTTTGAATGTGCCCCAAAAGTAGCTAACCGTAATGAGTCACTGAACTTTACTTTTCAGTTTTCTCATCTTAAAATTAGTTAATGAGGAAACCATCTCTTATGGTTATAAAATTCTGTGAATATATAACCATCTTTCTAAAATAAGTAAATTAATTAAAATCTGTCTTTTCATAATATTTTAAATGAGATTTTTATATGGAAGCCAATATATATGAAAGTATTTTAATTTTAAAGGAATAGTGTGAGCTGTGAGATAACCGTAATATGTTGACTTTAATTATAACTAGGTGACTCTGGAGAAGACCTTTTGTTTGGAACGTCAGATGGAAAACTTGGGCTTATTCAGATCACTACAACCAAACCAATCCACAAGTGGGAAATTCGAAATGAGAAAAAGAGGGGCGGTATGTTTTTTATATAACTCTGATTCTGAATTTTAGTGATTATTGAATAGAATATCCTGGGAATTCCCTGGCAGTCCAGTGGTTAGGACTTCATGCTTTCACTTCCAAGAGCATGAGTTTGATCCCGGTCAGAGAACTAAGACCTTGCCTGCTGCATGGTGCTCGGCCCCAAACAGATAAATAGATCCACCTGCATTGTATAGTTCATCCTGCTTTCTTTATTCATAAGGTAGAGCAGACCTAGCAATGTACAGAGCCACCACATGTTTATTTACTGTTTGTATATTTAGCAGGTCTATCAGTTCTGCTGTAACTTTTTAAAGTAAGATGTACTAATGGGGCTTCCCAGGTGGCTCAGTGGTAAAGGATCCACCTGCCAGTGCAGGAAACATAAGAGATACCGATTCAGTCTGTGGATCAGGATGATCCCCTGGAGTAGGATGTGGCAACCCACTCCAGTATTCCTGCCTGGACAGTCCCATGGACAGAGGAGCCTGGTGGGCTACAGTCCAGGGGGTTGGAAAGAGTCAGGCATAACTCAACTGCTGAGCACGCACAGGATATACTGACAGTATTTTGGGATGGGTGGGCTTTTATGGGCTAATGTTTATCTATAACATCAATCTCTGCTCAAATCCAGTTTTCATTGTTTGCTGTAGGGAATTAATTGGAATTTGGGAGTATTTGGTATGAGTCAAAGAAGTACAATGAGATCAGAGAATATTCCTTTTTTTCTAAGGAATTTATACCTTTCTAAGGGGAGTTTTTATCTGACTTGGTAAATTTGGGTAAATTTGGGTGGCTATTTATAAATACAGCATGAAATCTGATTGATGAGAAAATGTGTTAACAATGCAAAACATTTAAGGGAAAAGAATGTCTGGGAAAAGGAAAAAATAAAGGCAGAGAACTTGAGGCAGAGGTAAATTCAATTCATTTGAGGAGCAGAAGGAAGACCAGTGTGGCTAAATATGGCATGAAATGAATGAAGTCAGAGGTAGGCTAAGGCCAAGTCATGTAGGTCCTTGGGAGCCTTGTTAAAGGGTTTGAATTTTAGTCTAGGTGCAGTGGGGAGTCATTGGAAAACTGTAAGTGGGAATATGATGTGATCTAATTTACCAAAACTAAACCAAAAACACTCCATAGAGAGTGGATTTGCCCGGGAGCAGGTCGAAATTAGAGACAGGGAATTGAATTAGGAAGTTATTGTTATAGTTGTAATTTACTGGGTTTTTTTTCCCTACTCTGATATATAGATTTTTTTCATTCATAGTTAGTATATTTGACTGCAATATCAGTATTATTGCTAATTTATCACTTACCTTTTTTTAAAGGTATTTTGTGTGTTGACTGCTTTGACATTGTGGGTGATGGGGTTAAAGATTTACTTGTTGGAAGAGATGATGGAATGGTGGAAGTATATAATTTTGATAATGCCAATGAGCCTGTTCTACGATTTGATCATGTAAGTTCATTTTTAAGAAGACTATATATGTTTATCATTCATCAAACAATTATAGAAATGGTTGACAGTTTGTGTTTTATTAAATGATTATGTTAAAATCTTGTGTTTGGCTTAAAATATTGCTGCTTTGATATTATCAAAATCTTGTCTAGACTGCTCTTATATTTGAATAATAGATACTGCCCTCAAGCTAAACAATAAATTACTTTTTCATTTGATTTCTAAATATTCTATATCTAAAGTACTAAGCTTACAAATTTTAAGCATAATTAGGCTTCTTTATCCCAAGGTATGGAGTCAAATGGAGATGCATTCTCACATAAACTGAATCTTTCATTTTCATAAAGTGGTGTTCTCCTGTCCAGGGTTTCCCTCTTCTGCCTCACGTGTGATGTGTTGAGGCTGTTTAAGAACAACAAAAAGCCACAACTCAGTATCAACTTTTCTTTCTTTGTCTAGTTTCTCTAATTGTGATAGAAGATCTCCCAGTACCTCCTTTAATTGCTTGTCAGTAAATACAGATGTTTTGGTGCACAGATAAAGTATAGTATTATATAGATAACATGGGGATAAAAACATTATACAACATATTTTCTAGATATATTTCATATTCATCTTACTTTGGTATAAAAAGTCACCTTGATAATGATGCAAATAATAGTTTAGGCTTAAAAGGACATTATAATCCTGTGTTGGGGATCTCTTGGTTATTCTCATTAACCCTTGGGAAACTTTCCTATTTAAACCCCAAGTCTCCTCTTTGACTTCTTTTCCAAATGCCAGTAATGACATAGCATGTGTCCCCTCTGCCAGGTGTGGCACTAAGGATTCCTGTCTTTCAAGTCTTTCTTCTGTTTGATGATAGAGGTACTGCTTTCACATTATGTTAAGGCTGCAAATTTGTTGTCTCATCTTCATTCATGATGTCACTCACTTTGTTGTCTTTCTTATCAGGAGAAGTTCTCTTATCTGACACAGTCTGGACTGACAGTTGGTTAATCAAAAAAGTTAAGGAGCAGATCATAAAAAGATAATATACACATACCTTAAACACTGCATTTAAAAATATTTTTTTTTAATTAATTTATTTTTGGCTGCACTGGGTCTTCGTCGCCATATGCAGGCTCTCTCCAGTTGCAGTGAGTAGGGCTGCTCTCTCGTTGGGGCGCGTAGGCTTCTCCCTGTGGTGGCTTCCCTGGTTGCAAAGCATGGGCTCCAAGTATGCAGGCTTCAGTAGTTGTGGCGTGTGGGCTCGGGGATTGTGGGCGCAAGGGCTTAGTTGCGCCACACCATGTGAAGTCCTCCTGGGGCAGGGATCGAACCTGTGTCCCCTGCATTGGCAGGTAGACTCACAGCCACCGGACCACCTGGGGAATCCCAAACATCACATTTTAACTTAAACTTATAAATATATATTTACTCACCAATATTTTGAACTGTGACCAAGGTCTTTTTTTGTGAATTCCCCTAATTAGCATTCTATGTTGTTATTTACATAAGCCATGTTTATACTGTGTTGCCTAGGATCTCTTGTTTTATGATGTGTGACTGGTTTTACAAAATATAAGTTGAATTAACTAATTCTGCAACTCTAGTACTTTTATGAAAAGATACTTGAAGTACATAAAGTAAATGAATTTCATTAAAATGTTGTATTGGCAAAAAAATGTAGAAATTACAGTTTTTTAAATTTTTTAACTTTTTCTGAGTACATTAGGTTAAATAAGGTACTTCTAAGTGAGGAGAGAGTAAGCTATAATTAATCGTCACTTGAGGGGGTTTCCCTGTTGCTCCAGTGGTTAAGAATCCGCCTGCTAATGCAGGGGACATGTGTTCAATCCCTGCTCCCGGAAGATGTCACATGCCTCAGAGCAGCTAAGCCCGTGAGCCGCAACAGCTGAAGCCCATGTGCCTCCAGCCTGTGCTCCGCAGCAAGGGAAGCCACCGCAGGGAGAAGCCCCCGCACGCCTGCAAAGGGTGGCCCCCACTCTCCGCAATTAGAGAAAGCCCACAAGCAGAAATAAAGACCCAGCACAACCAAAAATAAATCGATAAAAGAAGAGAGGAAGGGAGGGAGGGAGGGTGGAAGGTAGAGAAGAAAGGAAATGGCTAAAGACAGTAACATAATGAAATAATAAGAACACAGTTCTTATAATATTGGTGATAAGAGAATTTCCTGAACAAGATTAAAAAAAACTTCAGAAGTCAGAAAGCAAAGACTAAATGTTAAATAATTTAAATATAGTAGTGATGAAAATCTGAAAGTTTAAAAATGTACACAGAAATGGATGCAGTTTTGTTTTTTTCAGAATTAACTTTAGCAGGAACATGAACAAACAAGTTCAAAGAATTCTAGTGTATATTAAGTACACTGGGATGCTCATTAAAAATGCACTTATACCAAAGACTTCCCTGGCAGTCCAGTGGTTAGGACTCTATGCTTCTGTTGTAGGGGGCATGGGTTGAATCTCTGGTAGGGGAACTAAGGTCCTGCAAGCCATGTAGCATGGCCAAAGGAAAAAAATGCACTTATGAACCTAACTTTATGCAAATATTTAATCAAGCCTCTGTTCCTTGAACCCCTCAGGAACAGCTCAGACAGTCTGATTTGCGGAGTAGCTCAGTGGTTTGCCTTCTACGTTTTTGTTGCTGGTGTCCATTCCCTCTACCTTCTCCTTTTGGTTTTGGGCTTTGCCTAGTAAGAGATACCTAGCAGAGCTGCTGGTCAAACCCATTAATGGGTTGCCAGCCCATTTTTTTTCTTAATGAAAGAGAATAGATTAGAATAAATCAGAGTATAATACAGAGTACAATACTTAAGCCTTTTAAGTTATTTCTGTTGTTGTGCAATATAAAACTTATTGATTACTTTTCAAATAACTTGAAAGCCACTGACCTAGAGTGTTTGTTAAAAACATAGATTCCTGGTTGACTCATCCAAGTAATTATTGTCAGACAAAGTTGGGAAGTATTGCTTTAAAGAGATATAAACTGAAAAACATGGTTTCTCTCCATAATAGCAAATTCCCTAAAGGTCCCATGTTAGCTATCATTTTCTTTATTCTAAAAAGCTACTTGGAGAAAGCACATGAGAGGTGGTCTGTAGAATTCAGAAAATAAACTAAATGTGTTAAGAGTTTTGCTTATGTAATGTTTTTTAAAAAAGAACTTCCTTTTATAAATAAATGATCTTTGCTTATTGATGACTACTGTAGCGGTGCGGTACACACAGGTAGATGAGTCATTTTTAGTCTCCTTTCCTCATATTAGAAACACTGGAATTTCTGGCCACTTGTGCAGGATTTTCACCTTTCCAATCTCAGTGTCTTAATAAGTATTCAGTAAAATTATATTGAATGTTGGGAGATAGGAAAATAAGTTTTGTAGCTTATTTAACTTTGTGAAATTTTATTCATGACATGCTTGATCTTAAATTCATTGTAGACGTTATCTGAGAGTGTCACATCAATCCAGGGTGGTTGTGTAGGGAAAGATGGCTATGACGAAATCGTGGTATCCACATACTCAGGTAAATCAAATGGAAATGGTAATAGCTCATTGAAAGAATCAATCATAAAAAATATAAATTTGATAATTTGCTTTTGAAAAAAATATAAATTTGATAAATTTCTTTTGATTTTTTTTTTAAGTTTATTAGTAAGTAACTCTTACCTCTAGCATTAAAAGCTTTATTGGTTAAAAATAAGAAAGAAAGAAGTGTTATTGATTTGTAAAATAATTTCTTTATTATTAATGCTTTTTAAAAGTCTTTAGTATATCTCTAGTGTCTTTGAAAATTAAATGATATCCTTTGACTTAAAAATTATTATTTACTGAAATTTAGTTTGTTTTGTTACTATGTACATTTCTTATAAAACTTACTTTCTTCTGAGTTGGTCATTTTTGTATTTTCACAATAGTTACATGAGATTTTAACTTTCCATGAAAGTAATTTTTGAAAGGCAACTTATACTCATCAGCTCTTTTTTGCATTTGCTAGACTATGTTGACTTATTTCATCCTTGAAAATTAAAGTTATAAATTAAGAAGTAAAGGATTTCTTTAATCGCAGTATTACAGCATTTCAAGCAAAGCAAAAATGGTATCCGAAATAATTTCTTTATAGTTTGAATATCTTCCAGCTTGATTTCTTTTGTATTTTGTTTTGTTTTGCATATGCTTTTTCGAAAAAGAATAAGTCCAAAACTAAATGAGGTTGATGTTGGTGGACAAAGGGGCATGTATTTTGGGTTTAACACTGGCAGCACTTAATGGTACGTGATTTAATTCATCTCTGCAGGCTGGGTTACAGGTCTGACAACACAGCCTGTTCATAAGGAAAGTGGACCAGGAGAAGAATTAAAAATTAATCAGGAGATGCAGAATAAAATTTCTTCTTTACGGTAATTTTGGATTTTGACTCACCTTTTTTTTTTCATTTCATGAAGTATGTGATTATTGTTTTTTTCTTACTTATTGGTACCATATATTTTACTGGAAGAAATTATATAATTAATTAGTTTATCACCTTTTTAAGTGAAAGTTTATCAGTTTGAGAACATTAGCAGTAAATGCTGATTAATATTTGGAGTTAGAAATACACTTTTTATGTGTTTTTTTCTATGTTGATTTTTTTCTTAGATTCTTGATCTAAGAAAAAACAAAATACAATCTAGATTCTTAGATCAAGAATCTAAGAAAAATCTAAGAATATGTTTTTGCATTTGTCTACTATAGAGTGTTTTTTTATAGACATTAGAAAGTAGCCAATATAGATGGCTCTATTCCTCATTAATTTTAATATTCACTGCTATTGTGGACCTTTCTAAATCTATAGCTTTGGCTTATAAGTTTTCTTACTGGAAATGAGTAATGTTGACTCCTTTAGACACAAGGATCGCTTGTTAATTGCACAAATCTCTTCCAAGATCCTTCCCAGACTTTCCCCCTAAACTTAGGGTAGCTAAACCTCATATTGTTCTCTCCTAGTTACTATTTGCTTCATTTGCTTTTGGCCTTTCCCTTTAACTGGAGCAACTCAAAGCAGTCACAGTTCAGTCTCCAACACTTGGTAGAACTTCAGCTGGCTCGTGATTATCGTTGATACTCTGCAATCTATGTTGTCTGTCTACTCTAATGTTTTTCTGAAAGGTACATATTTATTGATTTCACACATTTTGTTTCTTCTCATTAAATCTAAGGTATTCTACCCCAGAACAATCAGTTTGTCTTCTGATTAGTACTACATGTAACTGAAACCAGACTCCTGTGTATTTGCAGCTTGCCTTGATTCTTACAACTTTTAGTTTAGATATTTTAGTTTTTAGATTATAGATAAATAATATGGAACCAGTTGGTCAGTGATAGGCAAAAATTTTGTTTCTATTTGTGTTATAGTTCAAATGCAACCAATTAAAAAATCCATTTTGCAGAAGTAAATGTCTGTCAAATTTTTGTGAACATTCTGAGGACCTCAAATAGTATATAGATGACAAAGTTTTATATTTTCCTCTAGGACTGAATTGGAACAGCTGCAGTATAAAGTGCTACAGGAGAGAGAGAAATATCAACAGTCTTCTCAGTCAAGTGAAGCAAAATCAGCAGTACCTTCATTTAGTGTAAATGACAAGTTTACATTAAATAAAGATGATGCCAGCTACAGCCTTATCTTAGAGGTGCAGACAGCGATAGATAATGTCTTAATACAGGTAAGTAAAATGCATAATTACTTTGTTTTATGACTGGATCTATTTTAGTGTCCACTAATTATTTTGGACACTTTTAGTTTTAGACAGTGATTTTAAACATTTATCTTAATCTTCCATTAGATAATCAGTTTTCTTATAGATTATTTAAATTACCTCTTTACTTTCACCCTATACATATTAAACAAAAGGCCAGTGAACTTAAGTTTCAGAAAGATTCAGGAAGGACATTTAGGATTTTTTTCTTTGGATAGCCTTTAGGAAAATTTTAACAGAGATGTGATTTGTAAAACTTCAGTATTTAATATCCTGAATAGGATCTTTAAGTTCCAAATACTAAAATAAGAGTTTATAGTACAAGCTGCTCATTAACTGTCAGTTTCCAGATGGGTCAATAGGCAAAGCAGATGATTTCGAAGAGTGAAACCTAGAGATAATAATCTATAGCACCATTTTTCAATATATTTAATTATTTTTTTCTTATACTAGAAGATAGAGAGTGGAAAGGGATGATAGTAGGATGAATGGAAAATAAGAGTAAAGAGGAAGAAGAAGACAAAGTTTGAAAAGATATGGGGGAGAGGGAGGATTATTAATTAAAACTTACAGGCAGAAATTTCTCTTAAGTAATGTTAGCTCAGGGACTGCTACGCTGAGCAACTCTAGGTGCATCATTTATACAGAGCACAGTGCAAACTCATTCTCCTGGAAGCTACCTCTCCAGAGTAGATTAAAAATCACCCTCTTTCTGTGTTACAGGTGAAATAAAAAATTATAAAAATGGACTGATATAAATAAGCATTGGCTTCCCAGGTGGCACTAGTGGTAAAGAACCCGCCTGCCAGTGCAAGAGATATAAGAGACTCTGGTTCAATCCCGGGATTGGGAAGATCCTCTGTAGAAGGGCATGGCAACCCACTCCAGCATTCTTGCCTGGAGAATCCCAGGGACAGAGGAGCCTGGCGGGATACAGTCCATGGGGTCACAAAGAGTCAGACATGACTGAAGCTACTTATCTTGCAAGCATGCGTAATAAACATGACCATAGGTAGCCCATGGTAGCATTTTTAGCACTTAGACTTTTAGTCTAAGAAGACTATACTTGAAAAAGAGCAGTGAGAGATTAAATTCTGTAATCTCTGATTAATCCAAATTAGAAAAATAAGTCATAATATGACATTTATTCATATTATATTTATTTTCTAGAAGTACATATTATCAAATATAAGTTAAGAGAGTTCATACTCATATTTAGAGATTAACATAAACTAGAACCAACGAGAACCGTAAGAGAAAATATGCGTTGGAAAATTTCCAGTTTTCTACCTGAACATTTCTTTTTCTTTTAATATTGATTGTAGAGTGATGTTCCAATAGATTTACTTGATGTGGATAAAAATTCTGCTGTTGTCAGCTTTAGCAGCTGTGATTCTGAGGTGAGTAAAAAATATAAAGAATTCTTTAGATGCTTTCATTTCATTATGCCATTTTGTATAAAACCTGTAAATGCTATTAGAGTCAATGTTCCTTCAATATTTCCTTCCATAACCTTTCCCTCAAAATCTGTTTGTATTCTCTTTCTCTGTATTCAGATAATCCAGAAACTGGAGTGTTCTTTTAAATTCTTTCCTTTTTCTGATCTGTTTAATCCAAGTATAGTGGATCCCTCCCTCTTTTCTGTTGGAGACACTGTGCATTCTAAAAGCCCCAGTGGACGCCTGTAATTACAAATAGTACGGAAGCCTTGAATGCTGCCGCCGCTGCTGCTGCTGCTGCTAAGTCGCTTCAGTCGTGTCCGACTCTGTGCGACCCCATAGATGGCAGCCCACCAGGCTCCTCTGTCCCTGGGATTCTCCAGGCAAGAACACTGGAGTGGGGTGCCATTGCCTTCTCCGACCCTTGAATAATACTGTGTTTCTTTCAGTATCACTACTTTTGCACTTTGGAGCTCTTAAGTAAAACATGGGTTACTTGAACACAACATGTCATCTGATAACAGAGATGGTTACTAAGTGACTAATGGGCAGGTAGCACACAACATAAATATGCAGGATAAAGGACTGATTCATGTCCCAGATGAGATGGAGTGGGATATTACAAGTTCTCATCACACTACTTAGAATGGTGTATGATTCTGTAAGCAAAACTTATGAGTTGCTTATTTCTGGCATTTTCTGTTTAATATCTTCAGACCACAGTTGACCATGGGTAACTGAAGCCCCAAAAAGCAAAACCACAGATAAGGGGGAGACTACTGTAGTCACTGATTTCCGTCAGTTCCCCCTCCTGCTCTTTGCTGTCTGCTTTGCTTCATTTCCCCTTCTGTTAACCTTCCAGCTCTCACCACACTTGCTTGAACTACTCATCCTCTAGTTTCTCTACCTTCAGCACTGCCTCTCAATCACAGGAGGTGCTGTGCACCGCCATCCGAGAGGCCTTCCTAAAGTACAAACATCACAGTATCATTTCTTTTCTCAAAACCTTTTAAAACCTTTCTTGAGCTGCATGTAAGTCTAGATCTCTCACTGTAGCATAAAAAACTTTCCATAATTCAGCTCTTGATTACAAGTCCAACTTAATCTCTCACTAGCTGCTACCTTCCCTCCCATGCACATGATTTCTGCCAAACTGAAGTTCCTAAAATTTCTTCAAAGTGCTATATAGTTTCACACATTTCTACAGTTAAACACGATCTGTTCCATCTGCCTGCCTTTCTGCACTTTTTCTTGCTGACTCTTGCTTACCCTTCATTCAGCAGACATTTATTGAACACTGACTCTGTGCAGAGTGCCTGGGATGAGCCCATATCCAAGCTTTTGGGTGCATTTGCTGCATCATTCCCTCTGTGTGGTACTAGCCGACTAGCCGTCTCTGCGCTAGGTGTAGCTCCTGATGAGTTAGGGTACAGAGAAGGTCTGGAGAAGGCAAGCCAGAGAAGAAAGTGTGACTGGAACTGGCATTAAAAAGAGAAGGATAAAAAGAATAAAGAACAAAGTTGATAGTTATATTAGGGAATAATTTTCAAAATAATGTCAGAGTAAAACTTTTTTTTGACAAGAGATTTAACAGCAGTTGTATTATTATCACATATGCTTTGCCATCCCTGTTTGAGAATAAAATGCAAAAGATTAAGACCTATGTTTTTATGATCATTTAAAAAATCGAGTTAGTATGAACTTCAGATCTTTAATTCCTAAGTTACAGTGAAAGATTAGCCTGTTTATATCAATGCAGGATTCTTTGAGTATTTTATACTAATTTAAAACCTGTTTTCTAGAATGGTGACTTAAAAAACAAATCTTATAAAGATTTCCAACATATACAAAAGGAGAAAGAATAGCACAACCTCCATGAACTCATCACTAACTTTTACATATGGCCAGTCTTGTTTTGTGCTCTTTACCCTCTCTCTCTCCCTTCCCCAAACCTAACTCCAGACATTTTATCTCTTTTAATTAGTCATTTTATCTGTAAACACTGAAATACGTAACATTTGTTTTTAATTACACAAAAGTATATTTATTTTTAAGTTGACTTATCCTCTGTGCTTGCTGAGTTTAAAACATTTTAATTTTCTTTTGATATTAGCCTTCTTTTTATTTCTTCAGGTATTTATTAAAATAGGGAAATAGTACATGAAAATTGCATACCAAATAGTTCATGTTGTTTTGCCTGATTTTGCAATTCATGCACCTAGATATACTTTTTTTTTGTTTTTAGTAGTTTATTATTCTATTTCAAGAACTTATATTACATGGAGTAACCTCTCCAATTTTATTCAACAAACATGTATTGAATGCCTATGGTCTACTTGACACTGTGCTATTTGCTGGAAATACATAGATGAGATATTTCTAAGTTGTCTGTAAGTATGTGTGAAAATCAAATATGTTCAACACTGAACATTTATGTTTTTTGCCTTTATAACGTAAACATTAGGAATTTTGCATTATCAGTTAAGTTTTTGGAAGGACAATTAATATTTTAAAATGCTGTGGGAGAGACTCAAGATGGAGAGAGCACTGAGCTATAGATTTGAATTTGAAGTCCAGTTATTACTCACTGGCTTTAGGAAAGTTACCTAACCCTTCATGCCGCGTTTTCTTCATCTGTTAAAACTTGTTGATAGGAGTAAGCATAAAACTCACAGCACAGTGCCACCCAGTGATAGGTGTGCAGTAACATGGTAACAGTCGTTGTTGTTGTTGCTGTTGTTATTCTTAGAGGCATGGATTCATTCTTCTCCTCACTTTTTGAATTATTCCTAGTCAAATGACAATTTTCTCCTCGCCACTTACCGGTGCCAGGCAAACACCACAAGGCTAGAGCTCAAGGTAAAAATGTTTGAAATTACCTTTACTTGAAAGTTCGAGCTTTCTTTTTCCTTGGGAAATCTTGCAACATGTGATATCATTTCTTTGCATTAAATTTCCCCCTGAAACAAGCATTCTGAATAATGTCTTTTGAATGACCTGTTTTTGAGAATCTGAAGTTGCTGTGCTGTGCTCTGCTGTGCTTATTTGCTCAGATATATCCAACTCCCTGCAACCCCGTGAACCATAGCCCGCCACGCTCCGCTGACCATGGAATTCTCCAGGCAAGAGTCTTGGAGTGGGTTGCCATTCCCTTCTCCAGGGGAATCTTTCCAACCCAGGGACTGAATCCAGGTCTCCTGCATTGCAGGTGGATTCTTTACCTATTTGATTTTAATTCAGCCCAAACCACTCTCTCTTCTATTAACACTCAACTAATCACATTCAATAAAGTTTTTACCAATCCTGAATTTCCTTTAGTTGGAAATATTTTTTCTAATTTTCTATTATGGAAAGTTTCAAACATACATAAGAGTAATGATTCCTGCTTAAGCAATGATCAGTTCATAACAATCTTATTTATGCTGTCACTATCTGTTCCAAATTATTTTGAAGCAGATACAGGATGTAATTTTTTGGTAAGTATTTCAGTATATATGTTTAAAAGATAAGAACTCTTTCTAAACATAATCACAACAGTGTTATCACACCAAAGAAAATTTAATAACTCCTTAGTATCATCAAATGTTAAGTGTAGTGTTTTTTGCTTTTAATTTAATGTTTGATTCAGTCATAGCCCACATAAGGTAATTTGGTTACTGAAGTATCTGAGCATTTGCCCTGTATTTTCCTATTTGGATTTTTCTGATTGCATTCTAGTGATGGCATTACTATCTATCTATTCCAGATAAAATCTTTGAAGTTTCCTTTTGCAATGTACTAGGATAATCACTTTTATAATTAAATACTGTTTGTAGCACACAAATATATTTTATTTATTTAATTTTTAGTGTGAGATTAAAAAAAATTTTTTTGGTACATTTGTAATCCAAAAATTAAGGACCATATAACTTTTTCCTGGTATTGCTGATGTTCTAAGACTCAAAATAAGATTTTCTTCAAGAGAGATGCTATTACACAGTAACTCTTTTCACATCTGGTTAAGGAACTTCCAGTTTCTGCTTGTCTAACAGATTGGCACACATTTAGAGAAAGCAGTATCATTAGTGACAGGATGAGGAAAAGGACGCTGTCAGTCATAGCTGAGAGAAATAATTGTTATAGCCACTTTGGTAAAACAGGCTATAGTCCTACTTGTTGAAATCTATTTCATAGGCATAAAGTCATAGTATTGTATCCACAGATATATGTATAATTAACTGAAGCATTATTTGTAGAAGCGGAAAGGTGGAACCAAAGTGAACACTCAGTATTTAATGTTTGAATAAGTAGCTGTTTATCCATTCCATAGAATATTGCACAGCTGCAATAAAGAATGAGTTGATCTATTCCTTTTGTGAGTGATAGTTGCTCAGTCATGCCTGACTCTTTGCAACCCCATGGACTATAGCCTGCCAGGCTCCTCTGTTCATGGAATTCTCCAGACAAGATTACTGGAGTGGGTTGCCATTTCCTTCTCCAATTCCTTTTAACATGAGAAAATTCCATGAAAAACACAAAATACAGATAAAAGTTCTCTCTCTGTATATATACATATTATCTATAATATGAAGAAATATATGAAAAGAATCATAGCTGTCTGATATGACAAGTCATACGATAGGGGGAAGGTTTGAGGGGGATGGGAGAGGGAGGGAGTATTAGGAGAGGCAGAGATAAGGGAAGATATAGTTATTAGAAATAAAAAATATGTCTATGATATAAATAGAATTTATTCATGTGAAATTATGCATTTATTTTTGTACATCTTCATAGAGAGATATATGAAAAGTTGACTATCAAAATAGCAATAATGATCATCTCTAGGTGGTAGGATTTTAAATGACTCATATGTTAATCCTAATTTTTCTTTATTGTTTGGATTTTTAAAATAATGAATATGAAGTATATAATCAGAGAAAACATTATGACTTTTTAAAAATATTATGAACAATTGTGTTCTTTTTTAAAAATTATACTCTGTTTATAGTTATTATAAAATATTGGCTATATTCCCTGTGTTATACTAATTACAACATTCAGAAAACTAAGATCATGGTATCCGGTTCCGTCACTTCATGGCAAATAGATAGGGAAACAGTGGAAACAGTGGCTGACTTTATTTTTGGGGGCTCCAAAATCACTGCAGATGGTGAGTGCAGCCATGAAATTAGAAGATACTTACTCCTTGGAAGGAAAGTTATAACCAACCTAGACAGCATAGTTCATGGGGTCGCAAAGAGTCAGACATGACTGAGCCACTGAACTGAACTGAACTGATACTAATTATGAATTTATTGTGGAAAAATTTATGTGCCAATGTAAGCTTACCCCTTAAAAAGAAGCTCTAAAGATACAGCTTTATCAGATGGATTTTTTATTTTCCTCCTGTATTTTTCTTCTTTAGCCTTTCCTTATGTTTTCTCTCTTTGCATTCAGAGAAATATTTTCAGTGTAACATTTGCAAAAAATTCTTGTTTTAAACTTTTGTTTATGTTTTCCATTTAAGTAAAACATTGATTATTTTTTCCCCCTCACATGCCAGGGAAAGCGTGAGTTGATATGTCAATTTGATTAGAGAAGCTGCCTTTGTAATATAAGAGGTTCTACAGTCCGTTTCATGAACTGGAGCAGGGAGGAGCTGATGGGGGGGCAGGAGAGAGAAGCTGGACTGCTTTCTAATTCCTCTAAAATTAGGTCTTCACAGTTATATGAATTAGAGTTTTCTATAAGGGTTTTAAATTTTCAGGATATCCAACTAAAAAGGTACAAAGAATTTCCTAATCCAAATATGTCATAATTAGATTATGAGTATGCTTCTTTGTTTTCATAGAAAGTCAAGAATTAAGTTATTGGAAACATTTTGGGTTTTTTTCTGGAAGTAGATTTTTTAAAAAAAAATTTTGGCTGCACAGGCTCCTTATTGCAGCATGGTTTCTCCAGCTGCAGAGTGGCACACAGGCTCTAGAGAGCTTGGACTCAGTAGCTGCAGCTCGCAGGCTTAGGTCCTCTGTGGCAGGAGGCAGCTTAGCTCCCTGACTAGGGGTTGAACCCGTATCTCCTTCATTGGAAGGCAAATTCTTAACCACTGGACCACCAGGGAAGGTCCCTTTCAATAGATTTTTACAAGAATAGCCATATGCTGTAATACCGCCAGTTCTAAGAGAACGAAGTGATAGTTATTGACTCACTTATCCTTTCAACAAAAATGTCTAAATTTTACCATTTTTTAATGCGAATCTTATACAGTGTACTATACACCTATGTTTTTAGATGTGATAAGGTGGTATATGAGAATGTTTATCTTTCAGAATGACAAATCTATAAATACTATGGTAGGGATGACTTCAGCTCCATTCAGTTCACTCAGTCATGTCTGACTCTTTGTTACCCCATGGACTGCAGCACACCAGGCCTCCCTGTCCATCACCAACTCCCAGAGCTTACTCAAACTCAGATCCATCTAGTCGGTGATGCCATCCAACCATCTCATCTTCTGTTGTCCCCTTCACCTCCCACCTTTGATCTTTCCCAGCATCAGGGTCTTTTCTAAGGAGTCAGCTCATCTCATCAGGTGGCCAAAGTATTGGAGTTTCAGCTTCAGCATCAGTCCTTCCAATAAACACCCAGGACTGGTCTCCTTTAGGATGGACTGGTTGGATCTACTTGCAGTCCAAGGGACTCTCAAGAGTCTTCTCCAACACCACCATTCAAAAGCATCAATTCTTGGGCACTCAGCTAACTCTCACATCCATACACGACTACTGGAAACACAACAGCTTTGACTATATGAACCTTTGTTGGCAAAGTAATGTCTCTGCTTTTTAATATTCTGTCTAGGTTGGCCATAGCTTTTCTTCCAAGGAGCAAGCATACCTCCTTTGAGTGTTTGAGTGTCTCCTGTGGAGGTCCGGGTCAGAGGGATGACTGACAAATGGGTTAATTTTGCTTTGGATTGCTAAAATCTTTTAAAATTTTCTTTTACTATAGTGGTAAAAAGTTCCTGTTGAATAGAATGTCATTATTTCCATCAGCATGTTACAGAAGAGATTAAGACCTAAGTACTTGATTACTTGTGTTGAACATTTTAAAGATAGCCATTATGTTTCTAGATTATTCTTACTTTCTTTCCTCTTTTGTGTTGAATCAGATTCGCTCAATTGAAGGCCAGTATGGCACACTTCAAGCATATGTGACTCCAAGAATTCAACCCAAAACATGTCAGGTCCGCCAGTACCATATCAAACCCCTTTCACTCCATCAAAGAACTCACTTTATTGATCATGACAGGTAGGACAAAGGGAGAGTTTATTTTCAGGATATTACATGATGCATATAAACTTTCTTCTTATTTTAGTAATATAAATTCTGGTAGCAAGTTTGTACTTACAAAAAAAAAATTAAATGCTATGTACAGGTTTCCCCCGCTATCTGAAAGTAGGGCATTTTAATGAAACCCTTCATAAGCCAAAATAGCATAAAGCAGAGAAGCCATTACCTTAGGACAAATCTTGCTAATGGATGCTCCGAATCAATTGTGAGAAAGCACAGATGCTCACAGAGTTCAAAGCTGTGCCGCCTGGTGCTCAGAAGCTGAGTGTAGCTCCTGAAGGAGGGGCTTGGTGGGGCCTGTCTCGGGGCTTCTGGGGTGCAGGCTACTTCTCTAACAGCTTGCTGCAGAACAGACACTGAGGCTATTTTTGCTTTGTACCCTTTTTTGTAAAAGCAAAAATCCTCTTTAGATTTTTTTTGGTTACTGAAAATAGGTACTCATGTAGGCCTTTCATAAAGTCAAAGTGGCATAAAGTGAGCTTTCAAAAAGTGGGGGATACCTGTGTTAATATTTCTAATAGAGATGAGTCATTGTCTTAGTGGCTGATTTGAGCTGGGCTCTCCTTGGATTATGGGCTTATATATGTTCCTACATGACATTATGGAAATAATTTAACTCTCTGGGTTTTGGTTTTTTTATATCTGAAAATAAAGTTGGTGTGGAGATCTCAAGAGTTTCTTCTATTCTGTATTTTCTTAAAATTCTTTCTGTACCTTTAATTCGATAAACTTGTATTTTCTTAACTATCCATTTGATTCATTTTACATTTATTTAATTTACTTTACAACCTTTTTTCTGTATGTGTGATTTGCAGGATTGATTCCATATCCTTGCAAAATAGAAGGTATCATTCCTTAACTTTTCTAGTGGCATGCAGCTAGTGTTTCAAACCCACGTCTGTCTGTCTTTAAAAAGCCCAGTCCTTTGCTTTCACATTATGCTGATTTTTTTTCCTTAAATGTGTAAGTATGTTTGTAGTTTGTATAATAAAAATACTAGATGAACTTATGAAAAATGGAATTGACCTAAGTAAACTGAATTTTTATTTGTAAAGGCATGTTATAATGAAAACAAGCTATTTATGTCATTTAACTGTTAAAGTACAGGTATAGCAAAATGTTTATCTGATGGGTAAGATTAACCTGAGAAGAATTAAATGGCTGCTTTTATGTTTGTAACTACTATTGCAAAATTCTGTTTTTTAATGTATTAAGTATATATAATACCTCTATGTATTCCCACACAAATATGTATACTTCTATTAAATTGCAGACCCATGAATACACTGACTTTGACAGGCCAGTTCAGTTTTTCTGAACTTCACTCCTGGGTAGTTTTTTGCATGCCTGAAGTTCCTGAAAAACCTCCAGCAGGAGAATGTGTGACATTTTATTTTCAGAACACCTTCCTGGATACACAACTTGAAAGTACCTACAGGTGAATAAAACTTATTTGTGGTTCACATGTGTTTTTACATAAATGGAACTTCTAAATTTTCATATGTTTTAAGACAGTAATTTGCAAATAATGTAATTTGAAAACTATACTGTTCAAGAGAATCTATTGAAAAGCAAGTGGGATTAATGATTGACTAGCAATAAATATGAAAGATTGATATGTTTTCCATTCTCAACCATAACCAGTTAGAAAATAAATTATTTTTAAAAAATGTTTCAGAGCAACAATAACAAAATATTCATAAAAATCTGTGGGAATGCTCTTTTTTTAGAAATATGTAGAACTTCATGAAGAAAACGTTAACATTTTATTGACATAAAAGACTTGATTAAATGGAGTAATATATTCCATGGTTATTAATGTGAAGACATTGTAAACATTCAAGTCCTTCCCAAATTGACTTGAACATTTATCCTAATTCCATTTTGAATTACAAGAAGAATGACCATGAGTTTCTTTATGCAAAAATAAGAAATGGCTCAGAATTTGAAATCTTCGAACATGCAGGCTTTTGACGCTACCACAGTAGGAGATGAAGGCCATTATACTCTCATACTCTTCCTCAGACTCACAGCTGCCCTCCTGCCCTCTTCACTGTCCCTCCCTCACATAGGCCTCCCTACTTTCTGTTTCTGGATATAGTGGAGGCCAAAGTTTTCTCCTCCTGTGTTCTTTTTCTGAATGTGTTGGGTAAGGCTGGTTTCTCTGTAATCTGCTTTGACCTTGTACCCTTAAACTTTTTCTTATTCTCTCACAGCTGTAGGTTGGTATTGTCTGTTTGATCTTTTGTTTTATTTTAATTTTGTTGTTTGAAAGGGAGAGGGCTTCTTATCTTCCCTCTGTCTCTGTCTCTTAAGATTGTTTCCCTGAGCAGTTTACTGAGGTATTATACTTCTTGCTTTCTAGCTGAGATTTTACCACACTAAGTTTAGCAAACAGCAGTGAACATGTCATTTTCCCTTTGAATAATAGCCTTTGGGATCAAGGCTATTGATCCCAAAATCTAATTGGGATCTAAATCCCAAATCTAAATCCCAGAAATCTAATTGGTTTCTTTTTTTAATGTATTTATTTCCCCAAATCTTGCTTATATAATTGGTTTTCGCATCAGTTCTGAGGGGCCATTTCACTGTACCCTCCAGAGGATCTTATCTGTGTCTAAGCCTGGAATCATGGCTTGTGTTTTGGAGTATGACAGCGAACCTCACACTTTAATCATAGTAGACAATTTGACAGGCCCCTGGCATCTTATATATTTTTATAGTAGCACATCTTTGCTTTTTATCATTCTGTATCCTTAAATATTCTTAACAGTAAAAACTCTGCTTATCTTTGAAGGTCCAACTCAGTAGCAACATTTTTGAAGTTTTCCTGGATGTTCTTCTCTGTTCCCATAGCATTTTATTCTTACCTGTCTTAGATTTTTATTGTTACTTGTTTGAAGTATGTAATAATTTTTATGCAAGCTAGTCTCTAAACCAGATTGTAAGCTTCTGGGCAGAGTTTATTTCTTTATTATTTTTGTTCGTATACTTACGTGTCTAACACGTGGCTTTGAACATAGTGTTGTTTAGTCGCTAAGTCATGTTCAATTCCTTTGCAACCCCATGGACTGAACCTGGTCAGTCTCCTATGTCCATGGGGATTCTCCAGGCAAGAATACTGGAGTGGGTAGCTGTGTCCTCCAGGGAATCTTCCCAACCCAAGGATCTAACCCAGGTCCTCTGCATCGCGGGCGGATTCTTTACCACTGAGCCAGCTGGGAAGCCCCTTGGACATAGTGGTACACTCAATAAGTGTTTTTTGGCTACCTGATTAAGAAATATATATTGAAGAAGTATAGGAGTATATACTCTGGAGACAGACATGCTTAGGTTTGCATCTGGTCTGTGACTCACCAGCTATTCGACCTCAGCTAGGTTACTTTCTGAGTTTCAGTTTCTTTTCTGAGGAATGGAAATAATAGCACTTACTTCACTGAATTGTAACGCTTAAAGGAAGATAAACTGTGTAAGTCGTTCTACAGTGCCAGGTACTGTATATGTATTTAATGTGAAATTTCATTAAAGTTGAAGACTAGTGGGAAAAATCTCATGATATCTAAAATGTAATTGGGATCAAAATAAGTATGTATGATTAATCTTCCTAGAAAAAAAAATTAGCATTTGTCTACAGCTAGCCAGGGGCGACGGAGCCTGGTGGGCTGCCATCTATGGGGTTGCACAGTCAGACACGACTAAAGTGACTTAGCAGCAGCAGTCAGTATGAAACCAAATAAAAAGGCCACATTGAATATGTAAAGATAGTATATATTAATTAGGTCATCATAAAAAGGAACCAAATGTAAGCAGGCTTAACAAACAAAAGGAATTTATCAGCTTGTATAACTAAGTAGTCTGCTTTCAGACACAACTGGATCAGAAGCTTAACTGATCCCTTTACCCCTCTCCATCCTAAGACTTCATCGCTTGTCATTGCTCAACTCTGATTCTGTCTGCTCTTGGTTTTCCTGTGTGGTGCCATGGGGGCCACCAACAGCTCCATCCAGCTTTATGTCTTTTCAGCTACCATAGCCTTGCTTTTCCACTAGTTCCAATAAAAGCCCCACGATTATCATCGTTAAACCATGAACCACTGTGGTCATGAACCACACGTAAAAGCTTCTTCCTGAAGTCCCAGAAATAGGGTTGAGGCCAATGAAACTATAAGGATTGAGAAAAAGGGGAGAGAGAGGACAAAGGAGTTCCCTAAAGAAAAAGAAGGGTCCTGTGATTATAGATGTTACTCTTAGGTTTGATATTTAAGGATGAAGCATGGGGTCATGCTGTTAATCTATGTGTTGCATAAGAACTGATATGAAAGTAAGCAATTCTAAATGTATTTTATATATATAAAGTATTAGCTATTAGAAATTTTATTAGTGAAAATGAATAAAAAAGTTTTAAATGAAGACTTAAATTGTCATATCTTTAGGAGGCATATGTCTAACATCTTTTACTCAGTTTTACAACTATGTATAGAACTTGAATTACTACAACAGTAATAGGTTACATGTTTAAATATGCTTTACATTAATAGTGAGATGTGTATATAAAGAAATTTAAAACTAAATGACGTCTAAACACAAGGTTCTAGTCACAAAATATGTGTTTACAGGACATATTTATTGGATGTACTTCTTTCTAAAACTGTTTCTTTAAAATATTAATTTTATAGAAAAGGCGAAGGAGTTTTTAAATCTGACAACATTTCTACTATATCCATCCTAAAAGATGTGCTCTCTAAAGAAGCGACAAAAAGGAAAATTAACCTCAACATATCTTATGGTAAAATAAAAGCATAAAAAGAATCATTCTTTCTGTTTTAGGGGGGGTTGTTGTTACAACAAGAATGTTCCTGATCAAAGTGACTTATCTAATTGTGCCTGCCTCAACTTCTTCTAGAGATAAATGAAGTATCAGTCAAACACACTTTAAAACTAATCCACCCAAAGCTGGAGTACCAGTTGCTTTTGGCTAAGAAAGTGCAGTTAATTGATGCTTTAAAAGTAAGTATGCCTGCCACAGATTCATGATTATTATTTTATTGTGATTGGATTTCTAAAATGGTAAAGAACTTAAATTTTTATACTTTAAGTCCACTTTACACTGGACTGAATTTTGAAATTAAGGTGCTTTTATTTTTAATTTTAAATAAGGAATTGCAGGTTCATGAGGGAAACACAAACTTTCTGATACCAGAATATCGCTGTATTCTAGAAGAGGCAGATCACCTACAGGAAGAATACAAAAAGCAACCTGCACATCTTGAAAGACTCTATGGTTAGTTGACTATTCTAGCATACCTTGTCATATTCTTTTCTATTGGCTGTTTGCAAAGGATCATATGAGGGAAGCTGGGTGGAAGGAGACAGGGGAATATCACAGCAGTCATGACTGAGACAGGAACAGCAGTGTACTGCAAAGTGTATTTTGTCAAGCTGGTTTTAATGTTTAATATTTTTACTTGAGAATATACAAGTAAACATTAACAAATGAAGTAAATGTAATGCAGTTAATTTATATATATGAAGAAACCTGGTATGATACCTTATGAAACATTATAATTTAGGCTATATATCATACAAATAATATTCAGTTTTCATTGCTATTTTGAAATATCAAAATACAGCATTTAATATTTTTATGCAAAACTGAATAAGGGCTGTATATGTGATGTGTCAGTTTATAGTTTAGAACTCATTTTGCTTTGGTGAAAAGAAGTTGAGTGTTTCACAATATATTGAAAAAGCAAGAGCAAGAGGGAGATGTGAGGAGGCAGAGAGAGAGGAAGGAAAGAACAGCTTAAGGAAATTTTTTTTTCAATCTTTACATAAGACCTGATATGCATAGTATACCTATTTATTTATGCATCTTTATAATCAGGTGGGATATTTAATCCTTACAACAGCGCTGCAAGATAGATGATGCTGTCTCTGTTTTTTCACATTTTTTAAAACTGAAATCTGAACTTAAGAATTTGCCATATAAGTAGCTAGTGGCAAAGCCTTCAATAGGACCGCCTTGCCCCAAGATGCATGCTTTTTGCACTGTGCCAAGTCTTCTATGGAGTCAATTGGTATCATCTGTCCATATTGATCCTTAAGATCTTCCTAATAATTTATTTTATACCCAAAGACTTGCTCACAAGCTATAACAATAATATCTGATATATTAATATTTGCCACATGGCAAGCACATGATCTTTTATCCTCATAATAACCTAGAAGATGGGTGGTACAGAGCTGCCATCTCTTATCACCAATTTTGCAGTCCAGAAAGCTTTGAAATCAAAAGCATGTAACCAGTTGTTAGGAGAGTTATTAGCCAAACGATTTATATTTTGAAATTTGCCATAAAATCCCCCCCAAATAAATATTTTTTAATGCACCAATCCTTTTAGGTGTGTATGTTAATACAAATTACAGGTGTTAAGAAATTCTCAAGCAATCACTTTCATTAAATAATGTGTGGTTAATCGATTTAATCAATGACAAAAATTATTCTTTTTTCTTTGTAGGCATGATCACTGATCTTTTCATAGATAAGTTCAAGTTTAAAGGCACCAATGTAAAAACCAAAGTGCCTCTTTTACTGGAAATTCTGGACAGTTATGACCAAAATGCACTGATTGCTTTCTTTGATGCTGCATGAAATATAAACAAGGTAAAGTTCCAAAGAAGTTGTCTGTTTAAATGAAAATTGTTAAAATAGAATTACAAGCTAACTGTACATACTTTTATTTCAAGTGCTTTTTAATACCATCTAAATATAAATGAAGTATAACTTGTTTTTTGTAGCACTTTTTTTTTGGCAAAAGGAAATTTTTTAAAAAAAATTTTTATTTTTTTAAAAAATGGAATGATTATAACAGATTTTAATGAATTTTTTTTCAAGTGGCTGTTTTAACTCTCAAATCAAAAAATATTGTTTGGAAAATAGACACATTTAAATTTTTAACAAGCTAACACATATGTATAAACTGCTTTACAGTTTTCAAAATGTATATACATATGTGATCTCAATTGATCTTCACAGTATGTTGATTATTTTGTCAAATCATGTAGGAAAACTGATTCTCAGTGAGACTGTGTTTAAGAGGACATGCTGTTATTTCATAAATGTGGGACCCAAGTTCTGGTGCCTCAATTATGTTTTGGTTACTATGTGTGTTGTCAACTAGGTGATATAACCTATAAATTTTTTTTCTAGGAATTGAGGTTGATTTACAACTGATTTTGCTGTTGCTTGGTAATGTTTTGTGACTTGTACTCAGTTTGTTAAATACTTGGGTTGGCTCATTGCTTTAAATTGTGGCCAGGGAAATCAGCCCTTGCACAGATTGGGGGGATTTTAACTTGATGTGCTGTAACCAGTAGGGCTATACAAATGTACTACATATGAATAGTACAGAAATAGTGATGGCTTCTTAAGATTTTCCTGCACTAATAAATACTAATTTCCTTTTTTATCATATATGGAGGGAAATATAACTTTAAGACTATGGAAGTCATCAATCTTAATTCCTATTTATTCATATTCAGGTGAATATTATACTTAAGATTGTGCTATTTTAAAGTGGCATAAGGATTATAATAGAAAATAAACTATTCTGTGTTTTCAAAAAGGGCACACTTATTAATTTGTTGGAAAACAAGTATATTTTACTAGTTATGTGCAAGCCTTGTATATTAAATGTGAAAATTTGTTAAAGGCACATATTTCTATCAGTTTTATTTTAATAAGGCCATATTGTTTTCACTATATTTAAACAACCTTCATTTCTAAATGGAACACAAATTATATCTAGGTCACTGGAATTTCACTCCGTGCTTTTTGTTGGCTGCCATACCTTGGGGGGAAAAAAAAGAGATAAAAATTAATGGCTGTCTAGTTGAATTTCTTGTATATTAGTTTGTTATGTATATCAACAGTAATTCAAGGTGGCAGTTTAATTGAATCTTCATGAAGAAAAATAAAAAGGATAAGACTGTGAAGAAGCACGAAAATGGTAAGATGACACTATAGTCATCCACTTGAGTGTCAATTACATAAGCAGTGTGTGAAATGATTTATGCACGTTATTTAATACTAATGATAAGTTATAACATGTAGACATTATCACCCCGGTTAACAGATAGGAAAACTGAGAATCAGAACATTGAGTAATTTGAACAAGACCACCAGGCCAGTATGGCCGGACCCGATTTCAGACCTTGAGAGATTAGTCAGGCTAACTGGAGGTCCTAAGGCTAAAGGCCGGGTGGTGGCGGTGTGGTCTTTAAGTCATGTTTGACTCTGCGACCCCATGGACTAACCCGTCAGGCTGTAGGCAAGGCCCACTAATAATCGCTAAAAGGTACCCCACCTTGTACTAGCGGCAGCCCCTACCCTAAGACAGGAACCGCTTCGCTGCGGTATTTAAAGCCACCATAAGCATAGGCCCCGCCTCTCCGCCCTGCGCAGGCGTCTTTCCTTCTGCCGCCGTTCGCTGTTTCTTCGCCCCGCTCCGCCCCTGCTCGGCTGCCTTCGCAGCCGCCTTCATTCGCCTGCGACCGCGGCGCCCCGAGTGACGTCACAGGGACCGGCACCTTTCATTGGTCCATTTCAATAGTCGCGGGATACTTGAACTGCAGGAACAGCCGCAGCTCCGGCGGGCTGCTCGCTTCATTTCGGGGGCGTCCTCGTCCCTCCACGCCCGCCAGTTCTTGCGTCCGCCCTTCTCAGTCTCCTCGGTCCTACAAGGTCCCGAGCGGACGGGCAGGCTGGCTCGGGCTGCGGCGGGCGGGTACGGCTGGAGTGTTCCTCGGCTGGTCGGCGGGACGCAGTGCACGCTGCTTGGCGCCGGGCTGATCCCGCCGCGCCCCCGGGAGCAGTGATGTTGGGCAGCTCCGCGCACGGGCCTGCAGCCCGCGAGGCGGGTTCGGCGCTAACATTGCAGCACACGGCGTTCCAGGAGGACCAGGAGAACGTCAACCCCGAGAAGGCGGCGCCCGCCCAGCAGCCCCGGACCCGGGCTGGGCTGGCGGTACTGAAGGCGGGGAACTCGCGGGGTCCAGCGCCCCAAAGGCCTAAGACGCGACGGGTAAAGCAATGAGCGATATCCTCAGGAGGGAGGGCCGAGCGGGGGTTTTGCACGGGTTTAGTCGGCAGAGGAGAGTGGCGAGAAAGCATTCCCTGGGATTTAAGCGGGAGGCCAGGGTCTGGAGTCCCTTGATCCCTGGGTTTCTGTAGTGTAGGACGCCACATTACTCCCATTAGTTACTCTCCCATACTGTCCCTGACAGCACTATGCTTTCATGCTGCCTCTCACCTCTCCATTGGGAGTATTTTTCCATAGATAATGGGATCAAACCAAGCCCCACAACGTTGCATGTGGTCTTTGCCCGCCTCCGCGCCTTTCTACTTTAAACCCCAGGTACTATTCCGACCTTCTTCATCTTCCCCATATGGGTAAAGAAACTACCTCTACTTTGGGCAAAGGTATAAAAAAATACTTTGCTTTTGGTCAATTCCGCCATCTTACTGAATTTGCTCTGTTGCTCCACCCTGGGGTGAAAGAGGAAAACCACTTTTGTTTTTTGCCATCTCTGTTAAATTTGGCATCTTTCGGCCTGCCACTCCAGCCATCTCGTGGCCTAGTTTTGCGTAATTCCAGTTGGTGTGACTGAAATCTTTGGTGTCACAGGAATGCCTATGACAAATTGAAGCATCTCTTCTTTCTCCAGCTACTCAAATTTCCTTGCCTAAACTTTGCCCCCAAAAGTTTTAATTTTCCTAATAGAGGATTTGGGACTAAACTCAGCAGTATAAGGGGGTGAAAGTAAAATTCCACTTAATAGGCTCAAAGCAGTTAATTATTTCATTTTAGGTTGCACCTCTTAAGGATCTTCCTATAAATGATGAGCATGTCACTGTTCCTCCCTGGAAAGCAAACAGTAAACAGCCTGCATTTGCCATTCATGTGGATGAAGCAGAAGAGGAGACTCAAAAGAGGCCAGCTGAATCTAAAAAATCAGAAAGTGAAAATGTCTTGGCTTTTAATTCAGCTGTTACTTTACCAGGACCAAGAAAGCCACTGGCACCTCTTGATTACCCAATGGATGGTAGTTTTGGTAAGTTTTAAAGAAAACTTGAATAAATGTAATTATTAAATAGGTTGGATTAACATTTTCCTTTTAAGACGTTTTACCTGAGCCTTAATACTAATGTAACAAGTTTAGAAAGGGTGTGACTTATCTCAGACCTCACAGCTAATCCGTGACCTGGTGACCTCCAAAAAGATTCCAATACTGTGCTCCTTCTGATACACTGCTGGTCACATCAATTTCATTAGATCCCAAAGACTTAATTGTCCCTCGAAATATTTGCTTGGTTGGGAGAATATATTTCAGTTAACTTTTTTCGTACCATTTCAGAGAATGCCATCTGAGGATGCAGCTTTAAATACTGAGATAGCCAACATCCCTTCCAGCTCTAAAACTTTGTTTCTGTAAAACCCGTCTGAGTGATTGTCTGATATCAGAGAAGGACAATTGTCTTCCTGTGAGTCAGAGTAACTGCTATGGACAGCTCTGTCTACAGTTTGTGCTGCTTTGCCATCAGGCTATGGGTTCACTCGACAGCTCACTGAATTCAATATCAGTTTTAGTTGTATAAATGAGAGGTATAGCAGAGAAGAACTTTGGAAATACAGTAATTTGTGTATTCTTATTTAAAATTTGCAGCAAATTTTAACCTCAAAGTAAACTTTGAGCTGAAATAATAATGGACAACATTCGTTGCCTCCAAAGATGAATTTACCAGTCATCCATAAATTGTACCGTTAATATGTTTGAACTGCCCATGACAAATCTGATTTCCTCTTTAGCACACTTGTGAGCCCTGCTTCCAATTGTTGCCTGGATTATGCTTTGCAATGTTAGACTTTGGTGTCTGCAAACTCTCTTATGACAAATCCTAGATATTATCTCAAAGTTTGGATTTTAACCTTGTTCTAACAGAACCACTGTCCTGCTATCATGTGAGATGAATGATGGTTTAACTTAATAACCTGCTCCCCAAATTCATTTTCCTGTAAATGGTCTATCGATATTTTAATTAAAATCATTCCAAAAGTAAGTGGACAGAGGTACTAAAATGAGAGTTAAATCTTATATGTATTTTGTCATAAAAAGCTCTTTTAGTTGGATGAAATAAGCTTATTGGTAGTATGGGACTCCTTACAAGGACAATCATTTTTAGCTCTTACGTCAAAAACTAAGTGAACTTAACTGTATTTTTTAATTGTCCCAGAGTCTCCACATACTATGGAAATGTCAGTTGTACTGGAAGATGAAAAGCCAGTGAGTGTTAACGAAGTACCAGACTACCATGAGGACATTCACACATACCTTAGGGAAATGGAGGTAACTGCTCCCTGAATCTACTCTTGATACTGCTGTTTATTTACTGTGGGGAAATGAAATTAAGATGATGTTTTTAAATTTTTTAACTGCCAGTTAATTACTCTAATACTATATTTAAGTTTCTAGCATGTAGCTAGTATCTGTTAATGATAGAATGTCTAACTGCAATTTTAACACTCAACAGGTTAAATGTAAGCCTAAAGTGGGTTACATGAAGAAACAGCCAGACATTACTAACAGTATGAGGGCTATCCTCGTGGATTGGTTAGTTGAAGTAGGAGAAGAATATAAACTGCAGAACGAGACCCTGCACTTGGCTGTGAACTACATTGATAGGTTTCTTTCATCCATGTCTGTGTTGAGAGGAAAACTTCAACTTGTGGGCACTGCTGCTATGCTTTTAGCCTCGTAAGTCCAACTTGGTTCATTGGGTTAAAAGTGATTAAGTAGTATTTTTCTGTGTAGGGAAGAAATTGTGATTTAAAATACATATATTTGGCAAGTGTGATGTTTTAACATATAACACAAAGCAGGACTCAAAACTACTTGAGGGGTGGTAGCATAGATGAAACTACAAATTTAGGACATTAATTTTCCTAGATCTGTCTTTCAGGGCACTTGAACCTACAGACTGGCAAGATTTTAATACACTAGGACCAGGTTACAAAGTGTGGTTCCTTCCACAGAAAAGTACCTTCTGTTAAATAAGCAAAATCCTACCTTTTCCCCATTAAGACATGAAAACTAAAATATAAAGCATTTCTTTTTCTAAGGAAATTTCCTAAATTTTCAGTTACTTGATGACCTTGCTCCTATCTTGGGAAGTCAGTCTCTCATTTCCTTGGACTTCAGTAGATTATATATCTGGGGCTTTTAATTAGCATTTACCCAATTTCAGCTAAAAATGGTCAAGTATCAGTGGAAACAGCCAATTGGTTTCAGATTCATTCCGTTTATTCTGCTTAAGGGATTTCAAATTGGGATAAACAAGCTTGCTTTTCTTTTAGGACTAATTACTTCTTTCATTGTAGAAAGTTTGAAGAAATATACCCGCCAGAAGTAGCAGAGTTTGTATACATTACAGATGACACTTATACCAAGAAACAAGTTCTGAGGATGGAGCACCTAGTCTTGAAAGTCCTTGCTTTTGACTTAGCTGCACCAACAATAAATCAGTTTCTTACCCAGTATTTTCTGTATCAGCAGCCTGCAAACTGCAAAGTTGAAAGTTTAGCAATGGTAAGTTCTTTTCATTCTGTTGAATGAAGATTCTAAGGTCACAATTGGGCAAGCTCTAGTTTCATTATACAGTCTTGCAAGGAATGTAGTATTCTAGGACAGATTAGTGCTACAGCACAGGAAAGAAAGCCTATCACTCGCAAAAGATAATATAAATTGAGAAAGCACTGGGAATATGAGAATGGAAAATGAATGGTAGCCAGAAGGGTTGTTCTTAAGGCCAGAGGAAAAACACA